GAACTGAGGGGGCGCCGGGTCGGCTGGGGTATATATTCAGCGCCATGAAGGCGCCACTCTAGGGGGCTCCACAGCCGACCCGCCGGTGTTGCTAGGGTAAAAATCTTCCGACGATCGTGCACGCGGCGCGCACACACCTAATGGAATGGATATGAGCAAGCACTCGAAGAAGAACTTATGTTGCTCAGGGGAGTGAAAAAAAACCCAACAACCCTCAGTGACATACATTTTGCCGGCGTAAGTGGAAGCGTGCACAGTGCACTCTCCCACCGACATAGCTTCTCATTGGGGGTGGTTTAATGATGTCGACAGGAGAGCTCTCTCCCATTGGCATAAAGTGGCTTCGTGGGAGATCTGATAGTGGCGCAGCTGCATGGGTACAGCTGTGCCACTGTAAGCTCTCTAGTGTAGACACAGCCTTAGAGATCGGATTCTATTTCTGGGCCTGTAGCGGGGTGGTTACCCGGCTCCTGCCCTGAAGGGCTTAAATCAGCCTGGGGGAAGGTTGTGGCTGGGAGCTGCTAAGCTGGGCTGATTGGGTAGCAGCTGCAACTGGGCCCTATATAAAAAAGCTGTGAGCCAGAGGCCAAGCAGTCTCTCTCTGCCTTCAGAGGGAGAAGGGCCTGGCTGCAGTGAGCTAGAGACAGAGTACCTGAGTGGAGCAGGGCTGGGGACAGGCTGAGAAGCTGGGGAGCTCCAGCCTGGAAAGCCCCAGGCTGCGGCCTAGGAGGAGGCCAAGGGGTACTGGGGGTTGCAGAGGGCAGCCCAGGGGTAGGCCAAGGCAGCAGGTCCAAACCCAACCTTGCCTGTGATGAGTGGCCTATACTGCAGTCTGCCCCAGGGAGCGGGGGCTAGTTGGTGACTGGCAGTGCCCTTATTCTGAGGCGAGGTAGGGATAGTGGGTGGGGGTTCCCCAGGTAGGGGAGACCCTAGTACTGAGGGGTGTACTGCCAGGGGGCAGCACCCCAGATAAAAGGGCACGAGGTCCGGGAGGGACACGGGGGCCGGAGGACAGGCGGACCACCGGCCTGCAGAGGGTGCTTCAGCGCTGAAATGAGCTAATTCCCGGAGAAAACCAGCAGGAGGCACCGCAGGGGTGAGTCCGCTCCTCTACTGGGCCTATCACAAACTTCTTGTATTATGCTGGTCAAGTTGCTAAGACATGTCTATACTACAAGCACTATAGCAGCATAGCTATGGCACCGTGGCTATGAGACCGTAACTATGTAGTGTAGACAGAGACTACAGCGATGGAAGGGCTCCCCTAGCAATAGCAGGTATGACAATGGAAGCATTCTTTTGTCACCCTAGCTGTGTGTACTCCAGGGATTAGGTTGGCATAGCTACAGGACTCAGGCCTGGCGATTTTTTACAACCCTGAGCGTTGTAGCTATGTCGACCTAAGTTTCAAGTGTAGACTAGACCTTAGTTTGTGCCTCAGTTCCCCATCTGTTTTTTAAAAAGTGGGGATACCACCTCCTATGTTATGAAGATAAAGCGATATGGGTCGTGTATACCATAAAAAAGCCCATAAAAATAAGTTTCCATTGACATCTGTATGAATTTCATTGTATAAACGTCCTAAATATTCTCAGGTTTCAGAGTAGCAGCCGTGTTCGTGAAGTGGGCAGTAGCTCACGAAAGCTTATGCTCTAATAAATTTGTGTGTCTCTAAGGTGCCACAAGTACTCTGTTCTAAATATTCTCCTTACTGAGGATACCATTTGCAAGTGGATTCCTTTATTAAGGTACTTACTATGGCATCAGCACCACAGTATCTGAGCATCTCATCAATATTTAAAAGTAGAAACAACTTCTCTTCCTTTCCTCTGTTTCTCATTGTGTGGCTAAGGGGTTCTCACAACAAAATTTTTGGTGGCCTCAAAGTGCGGCCACCAACTCTTGCTGGTGGCCGCACTGACACTTTCCCCGAAAATACCTGATTAACTTTAGGAAAAACAAATAAATAGCACATACACATCATTGTAATTTATTTATGTAGGGTTTTTTTTTTTGCACACTCAATAATAAAAATATTACAGTGAAAAGTGATATTTGTATGTTTTTTAATATCAATCACTTTTCACAGGACACTTAGTAGCTATCTGGAAGGCTGTGAAAAGTGATACTTGCATGTTTGTTAATATCACTTTTCTCAGCAAGTCCCAGGACAAATTAAGCCCTGGACTGGGGGGCTGGGGTGGGAGACGGAGGCAGTGGGGGACATGGTGGGATGGATGTGAGCCAGGGAAGGCAGCGGGGGCCTGGGGTGACGGAGGGGTGGATGCAGGGCCAGGAAGTCAGTGGAGTCCAGGGGCAATGGGGAGGGGGCATGGATGAGAGAGGAGGGTGGGTGGTGAGCCCCGCAGCTGCGCGGCTGGAGCTGGAGATTGGCACCTGCTGCTGTGCAGCTGGAGGTCAATGACCGAGGCCAGAGCAGGAGTTGCATGGCAGAGGCAGGGGATTGGAGCCCAGTGCAAGTGTCTGCCACCATGTGGCCAGAGCCCAAGGCCGCGTGGTCAGATCTGGGGGTCAGTGCCCGCCACCACAAGGTGAAAGCCAGCACCCACTGCCACGCACCTGGGACGGGGACCGTCGCACACCCAGGGCTGGAGATTGGTGCCCAGAGCCGGTGCCCTCTGCCACGCAGCTGGTGCTACACGTCAGCACCCAGGGTCAGCGTCCAGGACTGGGGGTTGGAGCACGCAGCCGGGGATTGGTGCCCAGGGCCAGCAGCTGCTGCTGGGATTGGGGCTTTGGGCTGGTGCCGCATGGCTGGAGATGGGGATTGGAGCCTGCTGTTGCATGGACAGGGATTGGAGCCTAAACTGAAGCCCCATGGCCGAAGGCTGGTGCTGTGTGGCCAGAGCTGGGGATCAGCGCCTGAAACTCTGCAGCTGGAGACGGGTATTGGCACCTGATGCCCCACGGCTGGAGCCCTAGTCTGCGCAGCCAGGATCCCTAAGTCCCACCTCTGGAACCTGCCTCCCAACCACCCCAGGGCTGAAGCCTGAGTCTCACTGCCTCCCCCCACATCCAGTAGAGAGCTCACCGTGCTCCTGCAGCATTGTGCTCCACCTGTCTCCAGGAGGAACAGGGAAGGAGGGGGGAAGGGCCGATGCTTTGCCTCCTTCCCCCCCCCCCCCCCCCCACTCACCACTCTTCCTGGCTGCAAAGAAACTCCCTGGTAGCTGCATGCAGCCATTTGAGAAACGCTGGGCTAAAAGAACCTCAAAGCACTTCCTCAGACACACTAAATCACTGTATATCGACCTTCTCCTCAGGTAGGGTGACCGGAGAGCAAATGTGAAAAATCAGGAGGGGGCAGGGGGTGCCTATATAAGAAAAAGCCCTGAATATCGGGACTGTCCCTATAAAATCGGGACATCTGGTCACCCGATCCTCCAGAAACAAGTTGTGAGCAAAGGTTCTCATTGAATTGACAAAGATTACCACCAAGTAGGGCAATCGGGACTGGCATGTTAGAAACAGTGGCAAAAGTTGGGAAGAACTACTTTGAGTAACTTTCTAACAGCCCTTTTATTACTATGCAGCACACCCAAACTGCAGACGGGCAACATGCAGCAATGTGAGTGCTTTAAAACTGAACAAGGAAAAGAGGACAAGAAACAGAATAAATAAATAAATAAATAAAAATAAAAGGTCTCTTAAATTTTACCTAAATTTTCAAGGTCTTTTCTGGTAACAAATTTGTAATCATCATAAACTGTGCTCTCTGGATTCTCCTCCAGTTCTTCTGTCAAGTTGTCCAAGAATGAGCACCATCTTGGGGCAGGACCTAAAACCTGTGGGCATGGTAAGAAGAGTTCTGAATTTATACATACACTCAAAAATAAAAGCACACCCAGCTCCTCACACCTGCTGCTCTACTGCACTGTGAAAGTAAATACACAACACTGAAGCCAAATATGCTTAAACAACACCTTGAGAGCACAGTCAAACCTACTGCTTGCAGTAGGAACAGAAATAACCCTGTATAGTCTGACAGCACTATTGTTACAATCTAGGTAATTGAATCTAGGTCAACAAGTTAGAGGCTTCTAGTTTAACCGCTTCAAAATGTGACAAATTGGGCTGATTATATATTAAAAGCCAAACATGATGGATACAGTTTTGAACTTACCTAATAATGCTAGAAAACAAACAAATCTTTCTCACACAGCTGGATCTTGACTTTATTAGCTTACTGGGCAATTATGTTAAATCCCATTTTGGCCTGTTCATTTAATTAAGATGCCTGTGTGCATTTCAAACATACTTTCATTCAAGGAAAAACACACTGTTGTGAGCTGATAACTGGAAATATTTAAAAAATTTAAATACTAAATGTGAGAGATTTGAACTCAGTTTTGCTAGACTATCAAAGTACTTTCAATTCATGCTTCCTCATCCCAAAATGTAATTATCATTATTATTTTTTTAAACACCCCTAACTTTTTCCACTGCTGATACGAATCCTTCTCAATCTTAATGCATACCATCACACCCACTGTGCTGAGCCTATTATTTTAGTAGGTGTGCTAGCTCTGTGGAAAAAAAGGCCAACATGAAGGTCCTCTCTCCAGGGGGAAAAGTGGAGAATCAATGGGAAGCTTGGGATGTAAGGAAGGTCACTAACTCCAGCAGAGTGGAACTTTTAATAATCCATTTTCTTTTTGTTCCATCATTACTAATACGTGAAATGGAAAAAAAAAAGTCACAATAGATACGGCAATGGAGGCTGTTCAAAATAATTTTTTTAGGCAACTTTGATAATGAAATACATATAATTTGTTCTTAATGTGAAGACTGTGTTACACCAATAAGGATCTCTCAAAGTCTATGGTGACAAATCATTTTGCTCCAATTAGAAAAGTGTCATTCCCCTTTTTAAAAATGCATTTTCTTCAAATAACTATAGTTGTCTTAAAATAGCAGCAGTATATTCCAGACCATAACATTCAAATTTATTCAATAAAATTTAAAAGCCCCTGATGCAATATTTCCTACATCAAGAAAAATGTCTGGCAGATTTAGCAGGGTTCCTCATTTTGTTTAATCTGCTTTATTATCTGGCTTTATAAATATCCTTTGCTGTTTAGAAATTTGCAGCACTATCTTTTAAAGTCACGAGAAATAAGAATAAGGTCAGACTGTGATCAAAGTTGGCAACCACAACAAACATGGCAACTGGAGAGGTACACTGGCATCGTTAACCATACCATTCATTTTACCCAGATTAGATCTCTCCTCAGAAGATCACAATTAACTTGTCTCTGACAACAGAAACTGCTGGCTTAATCAATAAGGTCGGATTAACCAAATCTCCATGGCTGTCTGAGCAGCAGTAACCACTTGACTAACATGGGTAACATTCAGAATCTTCCAGTCAGATATTTTTTCCTCCTTTTAGATCTTAATCGTCTCCAATTATATTTCCTGTTTTTCCCTGCTTCAAAGGTAAATGAAAAGCTTTTAATAAAACTAGATGTCAGTCAACTGAGTACAAGTGTTCCAGCCTTTCATGCTAATTCAAACGGTTACTGCTAAATGTTGCTTCATTACCATAGCTAAAAGAAAGGACTTTTCCTAGTCATGTGTTTTGTGGTTACCTATATTCTAGTTTTGGACACAATTATATTCACTTTTTTTTTCTTCTATGTTACTGCTGAGAAATATTTTCTGTCATCGTGATCTTAGCATAATAAAGTCTGTCTCTTGAAGAGTCTTTGAATAAGTGAAGTTCTTAACTCATGTATATTTTAATCCCACAAAAAACTAGTCCTTCATAACATCTTGCTGTCACATTGCTTTAACAAATGCAAGGTTCCTGCTTGTTACTTGGACAACTTTTCAAAAAAATAGATATCATCCATTGCTACTACACCACATCCTCAGGTTGTGTCCAACAAGATTTAAAGGTTTATCCATTAAAGCACAGGTTATTTCAGACATACAATGAGCTCCAAAGGGCATCTTGAATACAGTAGAATCTCTGAGTTACAAACACCTCAGGAATAGAGGTTGTTGATAACTCTGAAATGTTGGTAACTGAACAAAACATTATGGTTGTTCTTTCAAAAGTTTACAACTGAACATTGACTTAATACAGCTTTGAAACTTTATGCAGAAGAAAAATGCTGCTTTTAACCATATTAAATTTAAATGAAACAAGCACAGAAACCGTGTCAAATCTTTTTTTAAAACTATTTTTTTAGTAGTTTACATTTAACACAGTACTGTATCTCTAAATACAGATATTCTTTTTTTAGTTTTACCACTTTTGTTTCTCCCCTCAAGCTCTCTGAAACTGAATTCCTGTAAAACCTTTTGTTTTACAGCATATGTTCCATTTTAATAAATTTACAGGAGTTTTCATCTTTAACATTAATCCTTTCCTCCTTTTACTTCCTCCCTTAGTTAAAATACATTCCATTCCCTTCCCCTCTCTTCCAGCAACCACTCAAACAGCCTTGGCCTTTCCATATCCACAGGGCCCTAGGCACCATCAGAAAGTTTCTATGCTTCTCCCTACTCAGAGACAAATCCTCTTCTGGCACAAACACACACTCTGTTGATGGGTCAGCAAGTGTTCTGGGAGCTGAGAGGGTCTGACTGTCCAGTTCCCTATTACCAATGCCCCAGCCAGGGGAACAGAGACTCCTTCCCCACCTGGGGATCAGGCTCTGCTCTGTGAGAGGTGCTAGTTAAGTGGGAGAACTGCCTAGACTAAGTGGTTAATATGCCTGTAAACCAACATTGAGGTACATAATTCTACTAAATCCAAATGGAGAAAAATGCAATGAAATTTGCAATAAGGTCAAGAATAGGATAGCTGATGCAACTGCAGATACACAAGGAAATGAAAACAATGTGATGAAACTAGACTCAAAGTAGAAAGTTCCCAGTTGTACAATGACATTTCTAATCAGTTTAGATGCCAATTTTAATAAAGTTAGCAAATTGTAAATTATAAGCCAGTACACATTTACATTCATTTTTTATTCATGTTCTATATTTCTATAAACATAGAAATTTCGAAATAACTAGCAATATTCATCAAGAAGTGGAAGATTTTCAAAGGCGCACAGGGAAGTTAGGCACCAAAATACCAGTGAAAAATCAATGAGAGCTGGACACCTAAGTCTCCCCGCTACAGTCTAATATGGACAAAAATATCTAGCCCTTACATCTCCGATTCACCAGGCAAAGATGCAAAAGTCAACAGACACAGTGCCTAGTTTTCCTAGTTCACATTATAGTGTTTGGGCAAAGAATTATCAGTTTTATCACTGTTAACACAAGACAAAATGTAATGGGTCCTCTAGTATTGAAATATTCTGAGATGTTCAACTGAGTTTTGAATATGCCTAAAACTTGTTCAAACATTAATTATAAAAGGGAGAAAATTTCTGATGGGATTAACCTCCCCAAAAAGATGATGTTACTGTAAAATAGATTTTTTTTTTTTAAGATTTAATATTCTTTGTATTTTAAAGGGCAATTAAACTAACATTAAGAGGATGATATTGTAATACAAGAGCCTCATTGTGGTACAGCTCTGATACAATGCAACTGTTAATCTATGTTGTTGCAGATGAATTTAATGAAAATAATTGAAAGAAAATGTATGAAATCCCGCCGGACCTCTCCTGATAATACCACACTGTTAACATTTCATTAACTTCAGTGGAATGTTAATGGAATGACAAGATATACCAGATATTATTTCAAAAGCACAGCACGCGCTTGCTAACCTGTATTTGGTACATTTGATAGCAATTGAGATGTTAAATGTTGTTTAACTAGTCAGTTTCATAGTTAGCGCCACAGCTTCATTTGAGCCATAGAAACAACAGACCCAATCCCAAAAGGGGCTGAACACTCTAAACTCCTACTGATTGCACAAGGAAGTTGAGGGTGCGCAGCACCACAATGATCAAGCCCTATGAGATAGACAGAACGAAGTTGACTTTAAGGAGGGGAGAATACTATGTTAAGCATCAGTTGGATGCAGTTGATGAGCCCAAGCCCATACAACTGAAATTAACAGGAGTTTTGCTATTGACTTCAAAGGAAGCAGAAGCGAGTCCCAAGTTCTAGTTCATAAAACGCCCCATTATAGGACCCTAAAAAAGAGTTTATAGTAGAATTACCAAATTGTAAATGGGATGCTAGAAATTGCAGTAAGTCTTTCTACTGCACAAAAAAATAGTTTGTACTATTTATCTACTGCAATAAAAATATTAAAATATATATTTGCAAGCAGCAGAAATCAGATTTCCAAATGCAGTTATATAGTTTAAACTGCACTAAATTGCCCTGAAGGCAGAACACAAAACTAATTTGTAATGCTTCAAATTAACACTTCACATTTTACAAAACACACAAGGATATATGGATTATCAAGTTATCAGTCAGTCAATCTTAGGATTCTTATTTTAGGTCAGTATTGATTAATGTGTAATCTTGTAAAACATCCATTTACTTCTTTGTTATGGGTTCCACAGCATATATAATGGCGGCTTTACGTGTGGGATTCAAAAGGGGAACTTCAGTTCCTAACTGCCACTATAGGCACCTAACTAACTCCCCCTGCATCGCATAGGGAGCCTGCGTGCCTAACACAGAGCTGTGAATTCCACTTGGCAGCAGGACACCTAGACGGCAGGTGCTGCAATGCTCAGCACATCCCCCCTGTAATTCCCACCTCCGCTGCCTACTTAACACCATATAACTTGTATCTCTATTCTTCATATTAAATAAGCCTCTCTTCTAGGGGTTTCCAAATTGGTTATTTACCTTT